GGGCTCAACTACTCGAGGGATCATACAGTTCAAGAGGGACTGGAGTTTATGGCCGTCTGGAACCAGGCTATGATTCAAAGCGATGATCTCATTAAGGCAGCCATGGCTACGGCTACCCGGGCTACTGAACCACCAGTTTTTAATGATTTTTAAATAGATATACTGTATATCATATATATAATAGTTTTATAGAAATTTTCTCATTATTTAATAACAACTAAATAAATGTTTTATATTATATAAGTCGTAAAATAGTGGAACTGTATATTAACACTGTAAACAGGTTTTAATATTTGCATTCAAACTACACCTACTGTTGAGATAATAAATGTCATAATTTGTTTACATTTATGTGTTTTGAAAACATTTTGTAAAACGTATCATAGATTAAGACAAGTTTAATAATGAGTTTAATAATTAATTACAAAATTACTTAACAATGAGTGCATCGATACGATACATGCGATCAACCCTTTGCGCGGCTTTTCGCCAGCACTACATACACCGCTACTACTCGTCGGATACCGGTGCTGTCAACAGTCATCCATCGTATAAAACACTGTTAGTGGAGGCACCGGCACCTCATGTAATACATGTCCGTCTAAGTAGACCTGATAAACGGAATGCCATAACCGCACAGGCATTCCAAGAGCTCAGGGAGTGCTTCGAGCGCATCGACCAGTGCTCCCACACGCGGGCAGTCGTACTGTCCGGCGAGGGAACGGTATTCTCGGCGGGGCTTGACTTTCAAGACATATCTACATTAATAAATGCCAGCACTGATTGGGTAGGCCTATGTGGACAGGCATCTCAAGCGCCGGTAGACATAGCCAGACGTGCGAAAGGCATCCGAAAAGTGCTAAAACAGTGGCAAAACTCGTTGACTACTATAGCCGAGTGCTCCAAACCGGTGGTGGCGGCGGTGAACGGGCCCTGTATTGGTGGGGGACTGGAGGTTGCGATCGCTTGTGACATAAGGTACTGTTCCCGCGATTCATACTTTTCCATACGAGAGGTGACGTTAGGTATGGCCGCAGATGTAGGAAGTCTTCAACGCGTTCCGAAAGTTATGGGAAACGACTCACTGATGAGGGAACTGGCGTTTACGGGCCGTAATCTCAATGCTACCGATGCGCTGACACACGGGTTGGTGAATAAGGTGTTGCCTACCGGTGCTGAGGCGGTTGAGTCGGCGTTGGATTTGGCGAAAGTGATTGCAGCCATCAGTCCGGTGGCGGTTCAGGGATCTAAGGCTGGGCTGAACTTCTCGAGGGATCATACGGTTCGGGAAGGACTGGAGTTTATGGTCGTCTGGAACCAGTGTATGATTCAAAGCCAGGATCTCATTAAGGCAGCCATGGCTACGACTACCAGGGCTACTGAACCAGTAGTTTTTGATGACTTATAAAGTGATATGCAAAATAATATCATTAATGAACAACAAATTATGTTTAATTTAAAGTTACTATATTTATTGTATTTCACTTGAAATGAATTGATTTTCAGTTATTTATTGAGATCTGAATTATAAGCAAAACTTTTATCTCAATTATGTTCATCACATTTGAATGGCTTTTGCTTTAAATGAAATTAGGTTGATCATTATAAACTTTATTACAGTTATTAAGATTACATTTATACAGATTCACATTTGAATGAATTAATTGATGGTTATTTGATTTTAGTTTAATTTTCGACTTGAATTGACATTTAGGCCAAAAACAGTGGAAATCAGACTCAACCAAGGAGTCAAACTAGGAGTCAAGTATTTATTTATGAAAATCATGATTGGTGATAATATGAAAATATAAAAACAATTTAATAAAACTTAATATAAAGTTTTATACGATTATTAAATTACATTAACATTGCATACTTTGAACGTTTAAAATTTTGTGTTATTAATAACTTATTATTAAAACTTTTTTCCTAATATTTTTTATTAACATTTCTTATGAATTGATTTCTTATGTCTATTGAGATCGCATTTATTAGCAAAACTTTTGCCGCAATACTGTTCATTACATTTGAATGATTTTTGCTTTAAATGAACGGAACGGTTGTGTCGATACAACTCGTGTTTATTATTCGACACTTTCCCGCAGTTTGGTTGCGAGCACTGGTAGACAGGCTTTCCCTTCATGTGAACGTCTATTATATGCAGTTTTAATGCGTTATTGTTTGCATAAAATTCATTACATAAACGATACCTACATTTGATTTTTCTATTCAAATGCATTTTCATTGTATGAGTGGTTAGCGCAGATTTTTGTGAAAAACTTTTGTTGCAATTATTTTCATGACAACCAAATGGTTTTTCACCCGAATGTATGCGTTTGTGAATAATTAGATCTTTTTTAGATATAAATGATCTAGTACAATTTATTTCATTGCATTTAAATTCTGGATCATTTAAATGAGCCGCACTTTTATGTCGATTTAAACAATGTTTTGTTGCAAACTGTTTGCGACATTCACTCCAATCGCATACATATCTCACGTTTAAATGATCCCTATTTTTGTGTTGATTTAAACTGAGTTTATGGTTATAAACTTTATTACAATTACTAAAATCACATTTAAACAGTTTCATATTAGTATGATTTAATTGATGTTCACTTAAATTACTTTTCTTATTAGTCTTGAATTGACATTTGGGCCAAAAACAGGTAAATATATTTTCTTTCAAATGAACAATACTTTTGTGTTGAAGTAAATATGATTGTCGTGTAAACTGTTTGTGACATTCACTCCAATCGCATACATATCTCACGTTTAAATGAGCAGTATTTTTGTGTTGCATTAAATTTGCATATTTTTTATAATTTTTTTCACATTTATGATAATCACATTTGAATTGTTTTGAATTGGCGTGTATTAATTGATGGTTATTAAAACATTGTTTAGTTTTGGACTTATACTGACATTTAGGCCAAAAACAGCGGAAATAGTGATAAGTGTTGAGTGTATTAATGGTGTTGTGATTGGAAAGCATTTTATCACTTATTTTACATGAATTCAAATCAATTGAATTGCAATTCATTGACAAATTCACTGCATTTTCGCATTCAATCCCTTCACACAAAACACTTGCATTTTGTGACAAAAAACACTGTATTTTGTCTAAACCTTGACACAAATCCAGAAATTCAGATAAATTATTCAATGAATACTTCAATTCACTCTCTTTTGCACACATTTTGATTACTTTAATAAAAATATAAATCAATTATTTTCACAAAAACCCACAAATGACTGAAACAATGACTTCTGAGACATTTGGCGCTAAAACTTAACCAAAGGTTAGGAATGATGTCTAAAAACAAAACCGGTTTTCATTTGCATTCAATTCACTGTCAATATCATACCGGTGCCAAACAGTCTAATCCAGTTAAACATGCATATTTAGTCGTTATTTTATCTTTAATTAATAAACATTATTATTTAAACAAATTAATTTTGAAAACATTCATAATGTAATAGTAACCTAGTTTAATTTTATTCTAAATTTAATAGGCAATTTAATACAGTAAACAAATGCATGTCGACGCCATTGCAGCGCACCGGTAGTCTAACAATCAGTATACTAATGATAGTGAGTGTCGAGTTGGCCTTAGAGTTGTCGAAGCGATTGCAGCCAACAGTCCGGTGGCGGTTCAGGGATGTAAGGCTGGGCTCAACTAATCCAGTGATCTTAGGGTTCGGGAGGGACTGGAGTTTGTGGTCGCCTGGAGCCAGTGTATGATTCAAAGCGATGATCTCATTCAGGCAG